AGGTCTCTGCTTTCAGCAGACATGTTGTTTGTGTGTGAAGAAGTCACTGGTGAGCAGCTGAGACCGGGTTTTGCCGAGATGCCATTTTGTGCAGCTTGTTTACATATAGATTCAACTCTTTGTTGTTTTATCTGTGTCTGGTGGATGTAGAAATGGTTTCTGAGTTTTTAGCAAAAATTCTGACGTTTCTATAGATACCACACATGTCTATGTTTACCWAYGAGAACGTTGGTTAATAAAGAAAGCAAAAAAAAGTAATACGATTATGCCCCCGCTGGTGGGGGCGTGGGGCTTAAGAGGTTAACAATGACTTATTGATATTTTTGTGTCTGACTCCTCCATTGCAAATTTGAGACTTGCTGTTTTGTTGCTAAATTTTCTACAAAGCCACTGCATAGTTTTCTAATTGACCCGAAAACTCCTGAAGGTGAGGGCTGGGTGTGTTTCTTACCTCCAAGTTCTTTTACATTCAAGATGGCATTTGGAAATGGCACTGCTTTGATGCTAAAACCTAAAGAGGAGAAAGAAAATCTGTTATTACAGTAAGTTTCTTATTACATTTTTAACAAATGTTGAAAAAAAATTATTTCATTTTCAGTTTATCCCTTTCTAAAAAACACATCAAAAGTTGTAAACATTTTTGTGTGGTCCAGTTTAGCATATCAGAAAAACAAGAAAAGCGGAGCTGAAAGCGCTTTCATTGGGTTCAGCTGAAGACAGACTAAATGTGTAAAGTGCTTCTCTGTGTTATGTGATTTATTTCTGCAGCTGGAAATAGGAAACAGTAGAACACAGTAAAGGAAACCAAAGAGGGAACGGATATAATTTGGCKCAAATTATGCYTCAGTTTCTGAGGAGCAGCTCTGTTTTCCAACAACACTGGCAGATGAAGGAAAATATGGAAGGAATTGAGGATTATGATTTTCTAAACCTCCAAGCTTTGTTTTTAAGCACTTAGCAACACAGTGTAATTGTTAAATAGGAGAATTCCCATGTGTTGACCTTCATGATTCTCCTTTTGTAAATCACTGCAGACGGCACTTATTTGAAAYTCAGTAATTATCAGTTAAGGTAAGTTACGTGCAAACTTTTCCTGTTAAACGGATCCATGATTAGTTGTAACATTAGACTTTATTTGATAAACATTTATTTTAACTGTAAAATAAAGACTGTAAAAATACTGTAGGATGTTTAGTTTTTATCATTTTTAAACTAAAAGTTTAAAAATATATTTTAACACGGACGGAGCCATTTTATTTCCACACAAAGCATTCTGGGTAAATGATGACGTGGATAGGTCCTCGGTGCGAGGCTGCTAGCGAGCTATATCCACCCTGAAGGTTCATCTTGGACAATATCTGATGATCGACTCTTTTAGATGAAACCAGAGAGCGTTGACAGAGAGGAGAAGGTAGAAATAACTCAGCCTGGAACTGAAAATATAGATGGAGGACAACAGAGCTGCTTCATGGAAGAAGAACCTCAGCTTAGCCTGTTAGCTTTAGCGTTAGCCCCAGCGCTATCACCATATGTATTAGCTCAGTGCTACACATTCTCCTGTCATCACTGAGGTCCTCCATCCACATGACAGAGWGGGGAACACAAAAATGACTCAGCCTGCAACTGAAAATATGGATGGAGGACCTCAGTTTAGCTTGTTTGTCGCGCTAGCGCCGAGCTAATACATTTAAGGCAATATAGCGTTTGCTTTAGCACGAAGGCTAACAGGCTAAGCTGAGGTTCTTCTTCCATGAAGCAGCTCTGTTGTCCTCCATCCATATTTTCAGTTACAGGCTGAGTCATTTCTACCTTCTCCTCTCTGTCAACGCTCTCTGGTTTCATTTAAAAGAGTCGATCATCAGATATTGTCCAAGATGAACCTTCAGGGTGGATATAGCTCGCTAGCAGCCTCACACCGATGACCTATCCACGTCATCATTTACCCAGAATGCTTTGTGTAAATAAAATGGCCCCATGTGTGTAATATATTTTTAAACTTTTAGTTTAAAAATKATAAAAACTAAACATCCTACAGTATTTTTACAGTCTTTATTTTACAGTTAAAATATATGTTTATCAAATAAAGTCTAATGTTACAGCTAATCAGGGATCCCTTTAAGGAGTAACTAGCAGCAGGCACAGACAGAAGTTCAGACTTACTGCACATTTAGGGACTGCTTTATATTTAGCCTCTACTGGACTAAGACTAAATCTCAAATGGAACCTCTGCAACAGCTCAACATCACTGCTGTCAAAGCCAGGGGAGGAGGGAGGAATGTCAGTGTTCTTAAGGGACGGCGCTGCATATATGGAAAGCAGTGCTCACCGCCGGGAAAATGATGTACTAAACACAAAAGCCTCCTGCTCTCCTGGACGTGCTCAGCGCCAGCCCCCCCAACTTAACTGGAGCACAGAAACAAAGCTTTGGCCGGTGACATACTGACATCCATTCTGGGACTCTGAGTGCACAGGGGAGAGCGTTCTTTTCCCACAGCTGGAAATCCACGACCGTGTAATATTTCCACAATCTGAATGACAAGATAAAGCCATTTCAGAAGCTCGGAAAGCTTCTGTGCRCWTCACAAAGGAAATGGTTTTACCTGAGGGTTGGGGTTGCATCCAAGTGCAAATATTTTCCCTTCAAAACTGCCCCTTTTTAACCACTAATGTGACGTTACACGGACTTAGCACGTACCTGTTGTGGGAACGATGCCGTCGGTGCTCTCACTGCACAGGCGTGTGAGCAAGCTGGTCTTTCCAGCACCTGTCAGGCCAATGCACACCACATCATACTCTGGTCTTGGCGGCGGGGGTCCTTTACAGCACAGTGCCCGGAAACACTAAAATAAAATAATAATAAAAGAACGTACAATGAAYGTTTGTAAAATATGGATCAATGATAATTGTTCCACATTTGCAATAAATTATTATATTGATGAAAAATTAAATAATTTAAAAAAAGAATGATTATAGACTAATAAAGCTATACAGTGTTAAATAGTCAGGACATTTTATTTCTATATATCGCATATAAAAATGTCCACCTAACCAAGTTTTAAAATCTTATATTCAGCCAAAAAAATCTTTTTGATCTTGTTTTGAGACTGATTTACTAAACAAGAACTGATTGTGTAAGA